ATGGGGAAGTAGCCCAGAAGGGGTGCTACACAATATTATTCAACCTACTTCTTTTACCTAGCTTGTTTTTGTTTTGTTGTGTTCTAAATACCATTTCAGAGTCATATTCCAGTAATGAATCTCATCCCACCAAGTCTCAATGATACCTATGAGGTCAAGTTTGCCTCCTTGTCTTAAGGTCCCCAGCTCATCTTGCTAACAAAATATACATACAAATCCCTAATTCATCTTGCTAATAAAATGCACAAACCATATTTTGTGCATTTGTGTACAGGCATCTGAGGCCTCTGCTTCTTATTATTGATTCCTTTCTTGGATTTTATCACCTATGAACTTCTAGGTATCTCCACTGCTCTTCTTCTTCCTACATTACAGTTTCTCTATGGAATCGAGATGGTGGATAAACATAACTACTTTTCTCATTCACTTTTACTTTTCAGTTTAAAGTTCTTCTGATTAAATTTGCAAGAAAAGGGGCAAATCTATTCCTTCCAGCCTTTCTAGACAGATGTATCCCATCCTTGGCCAATAGCTTGTCATTCCTAAATTATAAGCCATAGTCCAAAAATCCAAATCCCATTATCAGACATCATCTTCTTAACCAGTTTACAATTACTCCCCAAATCTGAGTCTCTCTTTTGAAGTCCTTGACTTTAGTGGGCAGCACTGATGATATCACCACCTGTGCCCCTAAGGTCTTTAGGTTCTTTCCCCAGACTTTGTAATTGTTAGCAATGTTATCTAAGCTACCTTCTGACCTTATAATTTGTGCCCACATGAATCATTAGAAGTGGGTAATAATCACCAGGCCTGACAAATCAAGTTCTCTGTTATGGCATGGACACATGCCCTGGAAAGGCAGTAGACTTGTCTATTGTTGTTACCAGGTTAACAAATAGTTAATTTGGTGCCCTTCAGCAGGAAGTCGCTAATCACTTCTATTTGTCTCCTTCCCCTGAACCTTATGGAATGCTCTCTCACCTGAGGACACCTATGCACCTACATTATTTTTTGGAATATCTACTTTTTCTTTACAATGCACAGTTTTCTCCTTTTTAGGAAGAGCTTAGCTCCAGGTATTAGGTGGTCCTTTTCCCTTTTCTTCTTTGTAAATGCTATTTCATCCTCCAACCTCCTAACACATGGCAGGGATCCCCTGTACCTCTGCAGATCTTTTTTTTCTTCTTTGTTTTCACATTGAAGCCTTTCTTCTGTAATTTTTTGGTTTTTCTGTTTTTGTGCACAACCTGGAGGACAGAGAGCAATTTCTCAAACCCTTTTACTTTCTCTTCTAGGATGGAGATCAGCATTCAGTTTGAGCATAGACAGCAGACACTTGGCTGTACCAAAACTGAAATTATCACACACTCAGTGCAGGATTCTCCCTGCTCTCTGTAACTTGCTGGAAGTGGGATCCTGTTTGTAACTACCATATCCAACCTAGATAATATAAAGCTATGTGCCATGGATCTGCATCTGACCTATGTGTTTGGTCTAAGGTATGTAACCCTACATATGATAGGATGTATTAAGTACTTGAATACACTCTTTCTTTGGTCTATAGTGTGCAGTTTTAATATAGATGTCATTTCATGTCCTGTCATGTAACTAGAACCTGTATTCAGTATAATCTGCAGGAATGTCGATTTTTTTTTAATAGGAAGAGGATACAACAGGTACATCTGAATAATAATATATTCCCCAGAATGCCTGGGCCCAGAACACAATCACTCATTGCAGAAATTTCCAGGAATCTATTTCCCATGAGATAGTGTATCAATGACATAGCTAGGAATGAGGGCAGTAATGGCAAGAATTATAAAGATGAGAGGATAGGATTTTTTTTAATATACTGAGTTTAAAATTTCATTTATTTTTTTTCAATCAGCAAAAATTCACCTTTTATCTCCTCCTCCCAATTGATAAAAAAAAAACCAAAAAACTCCTGTTATAAGGATATATAGTCATGCAAAACAAATTTCAGCATTGGCCATGTCCAAAAAAATATATGTCTCATTCTGCACTTTATATCTTTCATCTCTCTGTCAGGAGGTAAGTTACATATTTCATTATTATCTCTCTGGAAACAGAGTTGGCAATTATACTGATCAGAATTCCAAAGTCTTTCACAAAGTTATTTATCTTTACAGTATTGTTGTCTTTGTATACATTGTTCTCCTGGTTCTGCTCACTTCACTCTGCATCAACTCCCAGGTTTTTCTGAAACCATGCCCTAAATAATTCCCTATAGCATGATAGTATCCCATCACATTGATATACCATGACTTGTTCAGCCATTCCCCGACTGATGGGCATCTCCCTAAGTTCTAATTCTTTGCCACTGCAAAAAGAGCTGCTATAAATATTTCTGTACATTCTCAGAATTTATTTTGTTCAAGATTAAACTTTTAATTTACTCTCCCTCTAATTTCTCCTCCTGCCTTTTCTTCCTTCTTTCCTATTTTCCCATTGAATGAAGCGTATTTCCTTACCCATTTCTGTATGTGCGTGTGTGTAGGTGTATGTGTGTATATTCTTTCCTATTTTGACCACCTGAGATAAGACTGAGGTTCAGGTATCAGATGCTCTCTCTATCTTTTCCTCTTTTTTCATATAGATTTCTACTTGTACACCCTGATTATGTAACTTTTCCTAGCCTTAAGAGGATAGGATTTTAATGAAGGTTTCTGCCAGTGTTAGAACCAGGGGAAAAGACCAAAGGGGCACCCAAGACCACAGTGAGAGTGTAAAGAACCCAGGAATCCCATGATGTTCCTGAAGCCTCACAGACATCTGAGTGGTCTGGGAGGGGCAGACACTGGCTGACAATCCCAGTGGAAAGCCAGAGGCTACAAGGTGGCCTATTCCTGTTCCCTATTCCTCATTCTACCTCTATTTTGTATCTGCTCTCACTATCAGAGTAGTGGGTTTAGAGGGTCATGTTTACCAAAATACTCAGAGAAAGGGGCTAGGATTGTACTTGCTGACGAATGTCTGTGATGCTGTTTTTGTCACTCGAGACGTCTACGCTTCTTTAAAAATTTCTTCCAGTTACAATTAAATGTTTCAACGTTTCAATACGGAGCCTATTAATATGGTGAGCAACTGAGCTAGACTGGAGAAAATTTCAGAAGTTTGTGGTCTTCAATTGGGTGGGTGGCAAAAGGAGCCAGATGAGATGAATTCCCATTAAAAGTCCCCTCAGAGGCAGTGGTCAGAAGCAAAACAGACTTTTGAGGAGAGACAGGATGAAAAGAGAGAGAAGAGAAAAAAAAAGAAGGGATGGAGGAAAATACACAGCTAGTAATCATAACTGTGAATGTGAATGGGATGAGCTAACCCATAAAACAGAAGTGGATAGCAGAGCAGATTAGAAACCAGAATCCAACAATATGTTGTTTACAAGAGACATGCTTGAAGCAGAAAGACACACAGAGATAAAATAAAGGGCTGGAGCAGAATCTAATATGCTTCAGCTAAAATAAAAAAGACAGGAATAGCAGTTATGATCTCAGACAAAGCAAAAGCAAAAATAGACCTAACTAAAAGAGATAATCAGGAAAATTATACTTTGCTAAAAGGTACCATAGACAATGAAATAATATCAAAAAAAATTTTATGAGTTTCCCTGATAAAGCGAAACTTTCATTTCTCAAACATATAGGGAACCAAGTCAAATTTATAAAAAATAAGAGCCATTCCCCTATTGATAAATGGTTAAAGGTTATGGATAGGCAGTTTTCAGAAGAAGAAATCAAAGCTACCTATAGTCATAGGAAAAAAAAATGCTCTAAATCACTATTTATAGGAGAAATGCAAATTAAAACAACTCTGAGGCACCACCTCATATCTATCAGAAATGATAAATGTTGGAGGGGATGAGGAAAAATAAGTACATTTTGGTGGAGTTATGAATTTGTCCAACCATTCTGGAGAACAATTTGAAACTATGACCAAAGGTCTATAAAACTGTGCATAACCTTTGATCCAGCAATACTACTACTAGGTCTGTATCCCAAAGAGATCACAGATAAACGAAAAGGACAAACATATACAAAAATATTTATAGCAGCTTTCTGTGGTGGCAAAAAAATGGAATTGAAAGGATACTCCTCAACTGGGGAATGGCTGAATGAGTTGTAGCATATGACTGTGATGGAGTACTATTGTGTTATAAAAAATGAGGAGAGGGGGTGGTTTCAGAAAAACATGGGAAGATCTATATAAACTGATGCAAAGTGAAGTGAGAACTGGGACATAGTAGGCACTTAATAAATGTTGATTAATTAATTGCTACAGCCAGTATGTGTCAGAGGCAAGATTCAAACCCAAGTCTCCTGGCTTTGAAGTCAGCTCTTTTTCTACTACATCAAAATCTACTTATTTCTTCTCCTTCTCCTTCTTCTTTTTAATCCTTTTTTTTCTTCTTCCTCTTCCTCCTCCTCCTTCTTCTTCTTTTTATTGTTATTATTATTATTATCTTTTATCAAGAATGCCCTAGGTAGGTGCATAAATTATTCACAAAAAGGATTTTATAGAGATGAGATGGGTCAATTGTTATTGATATCTCTTTCATGTCCTATGGGGGTAGTAGTAACACTCATGATTTTCCCTAATTATTCAGTATCATTAATATATACTGAGAACTGATGCTTCAATGACTTTAAAATTGTCACCTCTTGCATAGATCTCCTCTGTGTATGGCCCAGCTACTCTTCTCAATTTTATTTTCTTTAGTGACATTGCTATTTCCTCATGAAGCACCTTGGGGATTGAGATGAAAGAGGTAGGTACTACAGTTATTATTATTATTGATTCTTATTCCCATTTTATAGATGAGGACACTGTGGCTCAGACAGACTGACTTGCCCATTGTCACATACTCAGTAAGTGTCAAGAGGCAGGATTTGAACCCACATCTCTCAACTCCAGGTCCAATGTTGTTTCTAATACACCATATTGCTTCTCAGATTGGGCAGCGCAGTTCTGCCTTTACTTACCTCCTTGTAGCCAAAGACGATCCTGCCGTCAATGTGCAAAGCTGCCTGGAAGGTGAAGCTCCCTGTATTCTCATGACCCTGGAGGTAGACGTGATCCCACTGTACCACAAAGACTGTCCCTGAGGGAGAGGAGCAGACACCCCAGCTGAAAAGGGAAGGAAAGATGGGGGTGGGGAGGCTGAGAGAGGGATCTTGCAGAGGGTATGACCAATGCATACTGAGGTCATAGGATCATAGATTTTAGAGCTGAAAGGGACCCTAGAATCCAATTCCTTCTTTTTACTGATGAGGAAACTGAGACGCGGAGGAGTTAAGTGATTTGCCTGAGGCCACACACATAATAAATGGCAAAGCCAGGATTTGAATCCAGGTCTTCAGATGCCAAATCCAACACCCTTTTCACTATACCACACCACACACACATAGGTTGTGGCCCCAAGGACTGAGTCAGGGGTGTATTGGAGTTAGCCTGACCTTGTGAGAATCTATTATTAAATTTTCTATGTGTGTATTTATACCTTGGAAACTGGAAAATGCTACAAATCAAGGCCTGATTGATTATTCTGTTGACTGTAGAGATTTAAGAAAGTGATGGAGAAAATGTTAATGCAGATTAAACTTAAAAATGTGTCACATGTAGACTTGGTGTTAAGTATTTACCAGCACATCCTGCATGTCTTTTTCTTCACACCTATTCCCACCCACCAACATGAAAAGAAAGAAAACTTTATTCTCCTTGGAAGGAGGCCTAGGAGATATTCTGGAGGAGAAAAGAATTCTCTGTAGTTGTGGGAATACAGGAAGGGGAATGGATAAGGTGGCTTCAAAAGGAGTAGGGGATGGTGATGGGTCCTACAGTACTGCCCACCTTGAAATTCTTTCCAGTTTGCAGGGAAAATATAGGTGTGTGGTGGCTGAGAGGATGTCTCACCATTGTCAAAGTATGTGACTGTGGAATTTGGGGAGTATCCAGGGTTGAAGTTGGCCATTAGAGGTGCCACATACTGGGTGGCTGTGAGCATCCGATGGATGACATCCCCCATGAAGATGAAGCCTATGGGAGGAAGGGGGAAGGAGAGAGAGATGTCAGAAATAGATCAATCAGAGCAGGCTATTGTGAAAAATATAATTAGTTACTTATTTTGTGATTTTGAAATAAACCCTTAATTCAGTTTGATTATGGAATTAACAACATAAAATAATTTGTATCTGTATTATGGAAAATACACAGTGTACTTTTTGGTAAATAAATATTAAGCCTCTACTATGTGCCAAGCACTGTGCTAAGCATGAGAAATACAAAGAAAGGTAATACACCCTGTCCTCACAGAATAACAGTCTATTGGGGAAGACAACATGCAAACAAACAACCTATAATACAGGATAAATAAGAAATAATCAATAGCGGAAAGGCACTAGAATTAAGAGACTGGGAAAGGCTTCCAGTATGAAGGTAGGATTTATTGTTCAGTGGTGTCTGACTCTTCATGACTCCATTAGGGGTTTTCTCGGCAAAGATACTGGAATGGTTTGTCATTTCTTTCTCCAGCTCATTTTACAGATGAGGAAACTGAGGCAAACAGGATTAAGTGGCTTGCCCAGGGTCACATAAGTATCTGAGGTCAGATTTGAACTCACCAAGATGAATCTTCCTGACCCCAGGTCTAGCACTTTATCCTATGCACCACCTAACTGCCCCCTAGGTGGGATTTAGGATGAGACTCAAAAGAAGCCAGGGGGAGTCAGGAGGGAGAGATGAGGAGGGAGAGCTTTCTAGGGGGCAGATTTGACTCATGCAGCTACAACCACCCTTTTCTTTTTCTTTATATAATTACTCATTTGAGTTATAGCTATTAGATAATACTATCTCCCTCCTTCTCTCCTCCTAGATATGTGAGTCATATCTAGCTCCATCTCTGTTGGTCCAAAGCCTGTAATTGGATGTAGAGTGGTTTCTAGAGCTGTCTTGCTATAAGACAGAGCTGGAGAAATGGTCACTAGGTGGCCCCCTGCCCTGCCCTGAGTCTGGATCTTACAGAAAAAGGGTCTCTGAGTGCAGATTGAGACTTTTTTTTTTGACATGATCATTGTGGGAATTTGTTTTGCTTAACTATACATATTTGTTATAAGGGTTTTGTTTTTCTTTTTCATTAGGGAGGAGGACATGAGAAAGAAAGAAGGTAGATTCTCATTCATTGAAAAAATAAGAAACAAAGAAAGAAAGAAGGAAAGAAAGAAAGAAAGAAGGAAAGAAAGAAAGAAGGAAGGAAGGAAGGAAGGAAGGAAGGAAGGAAGGAAGGAAGGAAGGAAGGAAGGAAGGAA